GCTGCGACCCCATCCAACTGCTGCCCTCTCCGAGCTGGCCTGAAGAGCCAGGGATGCAGTGCAAGATTTAGTTTTTGCTCCAATGCCTCATGGGGAAGGCTCATTTTCCCCCCAGACTGGCCCAAAGCAGTCACAGCATCCAGCAAAACAGAAAGGCTCGTGGCTGCTGAGGAAGCCTTGCTTGAAAATTAAGCCCTGTTCAGCAATCAAACCAGAGTGACTGTGCTTCATTCCTTCAGACATGCAGTCTGACAGATGTTCAGAGAACGAACAGGACAAGGACAGCCCAGTGCATAGAGACTGCAAGTGTAACACCGCCATACTTTCTACAGAAAAGAAACACTCTCCTTCTGCATGACAGCAGAAGCCAGGGAGGGTTCTGCTTTCTTCCACAAAGGCAAACTTTAAAATAATGCACCCTACACACAAAATACCTTTCTTCCATCAGATCTACCTCCACAAACCACACACAGAAGTGCAGCCGTGCCTACAGGTGACAATAGATGTACCTTGGGATGGAAATGATGGCACAGGAGACATTAGGTGACATGGGGAGTCCAGGTTACTTGCACAGACCTTCTGCATTCTGCTGGATTACCTTTACAAGCAAACCGAGGAGGGCAGATTTTGTCTGTCTGAAACTTCTGTGCTGCTTCCTACAGCACCTGGATAACAGTTACTGACATCACACCCGTTCATTTAACCAAGGAGATGAGGAAAAATATAATTTAGCTTAACATCCTGCAGTACAACCCCCCAGATTCTTAACATACTTCTCATGAATTTTCAGGACACGATGGACTATAGGAATTTCCCTTCCTTCTATCCTAAAGACCACGATTTCTCCCACTCTGATTGGATCTTCAATTCGATTTGTGAGGAACAGAAGATCTCCTCTGTGAAACGCAGGCTCCATGCTGCCACTGAAAAAAAGAGAAAAGGAGCAATTGAACAATATTTAACACTCAGAATCAGGTTTTGGAGGTTACAGTCCTTTAAGAAAAATCTCACAAGAAACTCAACAAAGAGCTCCTAAGAAAACCACCCTGGAGACCAGGCACTGTTGAACCTCTATTACAATCAGATTTTAAATCCCTATCCTACCAGCAGTTCAGATTTGCTGGGAAAAGAGCCCTGCCAGCAGCTGGTGTTAATATCACACCAAACGGGAAAACCCTTCTGCTTTCTTCGTAACAGAAAGCTGATGACAAGCAGCAGCTTCTTGACTTCTGAGCTCTTCCGTGTTAGAACTTCCACAGTGGTGGGAATCTTCTTTCCATAGAATCAGTGAGGCTGGAAAAGACCCTTAACATCATCAAGTCCAATCTTTTTATTTCATTTGGTTTCTTTTTTTGTAGGCAGGTAGATCCCCCTCACTAACAAAGCTCTGAACACGCACAGGCTCTGTATTCCCGTCTGGAACAGACAGACAGGTGTGCTAAAAATTTGCTACCGTGATCCATGGCTTTGCTTCCCAATCTCATTTCAGGCACTGCCATTCATTTATTTTAGTCCTGTCTTCTAAACGGCAATTGTTACAAAATACTTAACCTTCTTCATTCCAAATAAATGATGCAGTCCAAAACAAAACGATGAACTTTAAGTACCACGTATATTCATGGCTTATCTTGAGGCAGCACGGAAGGTGCTACTCAGAAGATCACACTGCTGAAGAAGGGACGTGACCCTGTCTTACTCATTGCAGGAACAGCATCGGATATCTCCCCTGTACTTACAGACCCTTTGGCAGGGAGTTTTGTTAAATGGCATATGGTGATTACCACTAACACACAAACACACAGAGAAGGCATCGCAGCCACATAACAGGCCCTGGGCACTATCCACACCAGCGGCTGACAGCTGCCCAAGGAATCTGTCCCAGGCAGTAGGAGCGTGGGAGTAGCACCAGTGGTACCGACTGCACTGCATTTCTGTGAGGGCAACGTGCAATACCTAAAACATACCAGCCACAGAGGCATAACCCTACAACTAAGGCTCCCCTTTCTCTGGCCATGCTATAGCTTACTGGAAGGCCAGGGGAAAACCAAGCCACTGTGAAAGATGTGTTAGTGAGTATTTTTAAGGATGAACTGTAACATGTAATAACACTCCCCAGGCATTTCAGGGAAACAGCAAATCCTTTTAATTGTAAAACTTTATTCCCTGGTGTCTCAAATCAACTTCCTTTTCACTCACCAAGACTCATTTGATACTTCACCTATCCATGTGGCAAGACCAGCCAGCACCATGGAGATACCACTGCGCTGCAGTGTTCTACCACACCTTCTGCTATGGGAAGTGCAGTTACCCTTGATGAGAGGATGCGGTCTGCCACAAACACTGTGTTTATACAGGGATAACACACCCCCACCCCCACCCGCCACGCTTCTCTGCTTCAACGCCTTTTTCATGGCTCTTTCACCTGCACCACCGAGCATTTCTGCACGAGGTTTGATATGATCCAGAGTTTCGCTCTTGCTGTTATTTCTTTGAAGCCCTTCCTCCCCTTCACCCATCCTCAGGACCACCCCTCTAGGGTACAACCCAGCAGTGACAGACGCAGAAGGAAAAGATGCTGGTTTCACTGCAGGCTGCCGGCCATGCTTACCTGCTTCCTCTTCCCTCGCCTGCTGCTCTGCGCTACACGGCAGGGCGAGCTCTGTGCGCCAGGGCCGGGACCGGAGCCTCCCGCTGCCCCATTCCTCAGGAAAACCCCCTCGGTCGGGCTCAGCGCCGCCGGCCCGCGGCTCTCCGGCCCTCCCTCCCCTCTCCGGAGCGATACTGCCGAACCCCCCCGTTTACCTCAGCACCACCACGATGGGACTCTCGCTGCCCGTCACCACCATCAGCCCCTTCCATATCATGAGGGCGGACGACACGATCATGCCGAAGTTCAGCACCTGGTAGTAGAGCTGGAGACCCGGGGGGGGGGCGGTCAGACCCCAAGCCCGGGCAGACTCAGTGCACCCCCCCGCCCCTCCCCTCCCCTCCCCGGCCCGGACCTGCCGCTTGTTCATGCGCCGGACATCGTCCAGAAAGTCCAGCGACAGCATCGCCGGCACAAGCGCGGCCGCCCCAGGCCGCCCGGCCCCGCTTCCGCGCTCGCTTCCGCCCGCCTCGCCGCCGCTTCCGGGCCCGCCCCGGATGGGGAAGAACGACGCGAGGCAGGGACCCTTGGATGCTTTTATTTGTGATATTTCGAAGTAAACATCATAGCAAGGCACGGGCGCCGCTGCGGGTTAAACAGATACGTGGTGGCTTGGGGGTGCCCCCTGCTATCCTTAGTTCTACGTAGGCTACCTGGTAAAACATCCCCTAGGCTAACGTACACCGTATCAAAAAATACAAAGAGTCCAAACTGTTCGTATCAAAACACGTCGAGACGAGCGGGTGAGCGATCCGAATGCAACAAGATAAATAGTTCTTAAATTATTTAAACATCGTCATAATAAACAATAATGAGCGGGGTTCTGGCTCAATGTAATTAAAAAAATAATGGCATAGGAGATGGTTCTACTGCACAAAGCGCGTGTAATGGGGGAACAGCTGAGGAGGGAGAGTCAATATGACTATGCGGAAGGAAACATCTACCAAGTGGCAGTAATGCTGAGCCGTCGGGAGCTACAGATGGAGCACCGGCAGCCCCCCTGCGGGCTGTGACCCCGTCTGCTGCCACAGCTCAGCCCAAGCTGCAGGGAGCACCAGCACCGGGCAGTGCTGGCAACAGCGCTGTGGTGGTTTCGGGGGTGGGGGCATGTTTTCCCCTGCTGGGATGGTGCCAACCTGCCACCCTGTGCTGCCCAAGCTCCCCTCTGGGACAAGCTGCCAGGCACCAGGCCTTGCTGCTCCCACCCCGGGGACAACTTCCAGCAGCACAACTCCACTGACACGTGGCCAACGCATCCCCAAGGGGACCAGGCCCTCCTTAACAGGACACGTGGCTTTGAGCTGTGCTCACCCGAGAGGACGTGGGCTACAGAATTCTCTTTCAGGATGATTCAGGTCTGAGACATTTCATTAAACTGCATTTTGGAAAATAAGGTTGTTATTCTGGCAATTAAAGAAAAAACAGCAAAACTTACAGCTTGAACCCGTCCCATGTAACACAGAAGATCCCGGATCAGCCAGCATGGTCCTGACAAGCGTGTTTTGCTGAGACGGCGTTATGAGTTAAAATGAGTAAAACAAAGGCAGGATGGGAAGAAAAAAAATAAGCCATAAATAGGAGAAAGAAAGCGACAGGGAAGGCTCGGGCTCTGGGCAGAGGCTGAGGCAGTGCACACTTGGAAGAGAGCTCATCTTAAGGAAACTGCAGCTGCAGAAAGTGCTCCTTGATCCTCAAGAGTTGGGACAAACTCCAGCAAGGATTCTTGCCCTGCTTTCCCTTTTCACCTCTCTGGTCTGGCAGAGAGTTAGTGCTTAGGATGCAATAGCAGGGTTGGGTTTTTTCTTTTTTAAATTTCCCTTACAAACAGAGGTTAACGGAAAGCTATGTCCATTCCAAGAAATCAACAGAATATTTCAAAGATTCGCCCCATCCCCACCCTGTATTTTGAGTAAAAACCCCCAACAAAAAAAACCCCAGCCAACCAAAAGGGGTTTTTTTAAGTCTTAAGAGACTTTGAATGATTGTTCTGTGAGGTGCTATTAGGACCCTCCGCGCCACACGTCTGACTGTGTTCACAAAGAGCTGAGTCACTTTCGCACTCTTTACATTTCAGATTTTCCTCTTCTGTTGTAGTGTTCATCTCACCATTATAGCCCTCGTGTCCATTCTCACCTATCTCCCTTTCTACCTTCTGGTTTGCATCTTCCTCTTCCTCCTCTTCTTCCTCCTCCTCTTCCTCCTCCTCCTCATCTTTTACTTTATGAACAATGAAGAGGTGTCTGTTCAGAGAGATGTGAGAGGTGTAGCACAAGCCACAGAACAAGCACTGGTAGGTGGAGCTGTCTGTCTTGTGCTGAGGTATGTGTTCCTGAAACTCAGTGCTGACGTCTGTCGTGAATCCGCACTTGGCGCATTTCCAGTGCGCTCTCAGTTTTTTGGCTGGCGGCGTGCCCGAACCCGCAGCGGTCTCTGCCTGACCCAGCTCATCCACTGCCATCCTCTTTGGAGATTTGGCCTTAAAAAGAACACAAGAGATTAAAAAGTTACTTCCCTGCTTCAGCCCCGGGAAGACCAAGTGCTCAATTCCACACGCGTACCTGAAGACACCTGTGGGTGAATCCACATCGGTATTTGGAAACAAACTAGACAAAGCTGTGCCACAGGACTCGTGTGTCACTTGGCCTTTCCACCCAGCACCCAAACCCCTCACCCCAACATGCATGATCTCAACTGTTGTCTTGCAACAGGAGACCTGGTAAGGGGTGCCTGGGCAGGAACATGATGGGGAAAGAGAATGTGAACTTGGTGTGGGAAGGAGGAGCCCACCACGCAGAGACAGCTGAGGGACATGGGGATTGTCATCGGCCCAGACAATGCTTCTCAGGTTTAACTCCAAGCATTCTCCACTCAGGCTCTTTCTTCATGGCGTTTCTAATGAACTCATCCCCTCATCCCACAGTGTGCTTCTCTTCCCGTGCGGATGGCACACTTGCATACATCCCTTCACATGATTTTCTTATCTCCTTATCCAGCAGCACTGAGACGTCTTTGTTTAGAATACAGCTTATAGGCTTGTATTTGCAGACCTGCTGGAGCCATGGGAAGCCTCTGGCAGTCCCTGGTTAGCCATGTGGCTCTGTTTGGGGAAGCAGCCGCCAGCTCATGGAAATGAATTCTTGGGTTACCCCAGGTTTCCTTACAGCATAAATACAGAGGAGAGTCAGCCTTGGCTGTAATCCCTCAAGAAATCAGGTGAATGATAAATAACAGTGATATGGAAAAGGTACATCTATTTTTAAAGTAAATGGAGCAAAGAAGCTTCATCAGCCAACCCTCCACTCCAAACTGACCCGAAATCAAATCAGTTGACCAGCTACGCTTGCTGAAAACAAATTACACAGTCGTACTCAGGAGGAAGGCAGTTCACGTAGGGAGTGGATCTAAGTAGTAAGTATTTTAAAGACAAAAAAAAAAAAACCCTTTTGTAACTAGCAGAAAAAAAACAAGGGAGAAAGAGGAAAAATGTATCAGACTCACGAACAGGGCGGCAGGGGCAAACAAGGGTAATAATCTAAATTAGACCTGGTTACAAAGCAGACTGCAAAAAGGCCAGTAAAACATAAGGCCACATGTTCAGGAATATCCTCAAAAATGCAAGACATGTTGTGCACTTTCAGCTGAAGTGCAGCTGATCCTGACACTGCCAGAGAGAAGCAAACTGGATGGAGTTGAGAGGAGGACAAGAAAATCTGCCATGTGGATGAGAGGGCTTGATATAACACCCCAAGGGAATAGCTACTCGCCAGGTACATTTATTTTTCAATGAAAATATATCAGTTACTTCTGCTGTGTCTCTCTCTGGAGCTTTTGCTTTGGCCATCTGGGATAAGTCTGGGTTTTTGATGCCATGCATGAGGCTGATGTGATTCTCCAGCATGAACGGCTGAGGAAATGTCTGATTTTCATCTGTGCAGTACCTTGGAAATACAAAAAGGAAGAAAGTTTATTAGAGGAAATGCCCAGCTCTTTGTTTCCATTCAAACAGTTCTTTGTATTGTGCCAAACCAATAGGTGTCACTGGAGTGGAGATGCTGGACAGTAATGTACGATTAGATTACCAAAATATGCAGCAAATCGCTGGTTTAATAAGAAAACATTGCCCCTGAGAGAAATCTAGAACAGTTTAGGATTTACCACAGTAAGCACGAATGGGAATGAAAGTAGGGCATATCTTAGGTACAGTCCAGTACTAAATAAATACAGGGACTAGTGGAGATCAGGCTGTGATACATGCTACAGAAGATAAATAATCAAGATGGAAAACGCAGGTGGGGGAAACAACTCTGAAATGAGAGACATAGGCACAGAGGGACCTCATGACTTGTGTAACGTCAAGGAGGCTGACAGTAGAACCAGGTTCCGCAGCCAGTGTTCCTGAGCCCACGGCAGCATCCCATCCACAAGACCATCTGTATCATGGCATACTGAAAATTCTTACATAGCTGCTGAACTTCCAACTTCAATAATAAGGTAGGCAGAAGCACTCAGGAATGCATCATGTATGTAACTATTCATGTTAAAACTTCGTAGGACTTAAGAGCTGCCGCTTCCAGAGCTTCCATTTCAAAAGGAGATGTGAAGTGGATGTGTCACCTTGACTCCCAGATGACCAAGGTCTACTGGAAATAAGTGCCATGTCTTGCAGACACAGTAATCCACCCCCTGCAGCATGGTGAAGTACACAGAGGTCTCTGTGAAACCCTAGATTGACTGTACCCTTCTGCTGCCTGCAGTGTGAGACAGGGAAGGTTCATCAGCTACACACTGACTTGAGCAACGAGGCAAATTATACTGGACTTCTCTGAAATACACAAATTGCAGCTGAAACGCAGGCAGCAAAGGATGAAAAGCATCAGCAAGGAGATGAAGCGTCTCTGGGCAACAAAGATATATTTTAAAAGGAGAGAAGATTCCTCCTGAGCTTCCAGTAATTAAATGACAGTAATGATATGAAAATGCAGACGTGCTCCCTGAATACTTCTTTTTTTAAACAGGAACTGCTTAGATGATAAATCAATATTTAATAATGATGGATTTTTTCTTCCTCATGGAGGAAAGATGAGAGGTTATTAAGTGATATTTATCAAAAATAAACATGTTGAAAATCAAGCGTTCCAGACAGCCTGTACTTAAGCCTTGGAAAATGAGAGCAAGTTCTCGTAACAATAACCAAGTGAATTATGCAAAAAAAATACACATCAGAATATTCTGCAATTTGTCCTAATTTAGAATTCCTTTCATGTGAGTAGAGAAAGATACTTTCCTAACCTGAATTACTCCAGTGACAAGCTTGGCAGGAGGGTGTTCAAGCAAGTCCTCTATCACTGGTTTCTCCCTACAAATTTAACAGAAGGCAGAGCCCTAAGTAGAGCAGGGGGAGAAGGGGAAATCACAGCATGAAAGTTTAGAAGCCAGAGGGAGGTGACCTACCAGACAGCATGCTGAAGTCACCAAAATACTCAATTGCTGGATCAATGACAAATTTTACTCATTTACTCATGGAAATCCAGGAGAGGAGAAAAGGGTGCCAAGAAGTTAAAGCATCGAAAGTCCCGAAGGGAGTAACAGGTGAGACTGATACAAACTGCCTGGTGGAAAAAACGAAAACAGACACCGGCAACCAAGGCAGAAGAAAAGGAGCAGCAAAGATGTGATGCCTTACAGAGAGCACAAGGCGCTGAGGAGGAATTCAAAGAAATGGGAGGATTTGCAATCAAGAGTCACAGAGGAGATTTTTACAACAGCACTTTGGACAAACTTAGAGGGACCAAGGCGAGACTGAACAGAACACCTCAGATGGAGACAAAGAGCAGCTGTTGGAGATGCCAGGACAAGCATTCCAAGATGTTTCGTTTGAAGAGTGCTGTGAATTCACTAAGTCTCCCGCTACAATGATTAAAGAGCACAACCACTCTCCAGTTAAGACTTCATCAACAGATTCTGAGAAGGAGCAACTACAAGCCTGATAATTAAACACAATGACAATTCACTAGAGTTTCTAGCTGTGCCTTCTCTGCTGTGAATGTGTGCATCCACAACTGTGTGTTGCTCTGAAGCATAATAGAGAAGCTGGACTCCAGGGCCTGTACAAGCTAATGCAGACAGCAGGCGGGCACGTCCAAGGCTATTAAACAAATCCTTCTCCCCAGATAGGCCTTAGGTTCATTTTGGTTCTGATACATTGCACTCTGAAAACAACTGATCCAGAGAGAATACACAGATGCGAATCAGGTGCACGTAACTCCAAAGATCATCAGCCACGTCATCAAACATACTGAGAGCCAACATTTCACCTTCTCCAGAGGTTCCAAGTCAAAAGCACAGTTACAAGAAATGGAAAAGTTTAGAAGTCCTGTCTGAAAAATGCATCAGAAATATATTCTTATCAGGCCCCAGTGGTGATGCCAATACTTTATCCATTTACTGAAAGCTACTGTAGCTCACTAGGCAGTCCAAAGAAATAAAACACCTGAGGATGTACTCTTCAAGACAGGGTTTTAGTAACTTAAGTGCAGTAAAGTGACAGGACGCTCTTCAGAAACATTTGCATTAAGCCAAAATCTTAGTTACATAAAGAAAATCCCCCAACCTCCATTTCTTCAAACTTCCCTTCAACACAAATGTGGGGGTTTAATTCTTTTTTCAGAAGGATGTGTCAGAATGAGACAGGAAGCAAGTCTGCACAGTCACTCACATACGACTTACTCTGCAACAGCAGATGAGAACGCAGCTGTTTTAGAGGCAGTCTTGTAAGCACTGGGATTTGTCCTGAACTGAGACTGTATCCACAAGTAAAAAACGTTCCCCAGCAATGATTTTCATTCACTGCTGATTCACAAAGCTCATCTCAAGTCTCCAAATCCATTATCCAACTTTGAGGTGCATCTTCTCAAGCAAATCCAGCAGGCTTAATTCTCCATTGCTCTGCAGCTTGTGGAGTCAGTTCTGCTTGTATATAGTGGTGGCAAGATCTAGCACCCATGCCCATGTTCATTAAGACTTTACATACCTTTTGTGCCACTTTCTCATGGGAAAGGCACAAGAGTGATGAACGACCACATCAACCACAAAGTAGCAAAAGAGTGGCCCAATATTACATTGGATGTTCCACTAGGGTGTCTAATATAATTAGAATTTTGCACTTGCAGATCTCAAATCAAACCTTATCCTAAGTTTCCAAAGGGCATTTTGCAGTCAAAAGCAAGGACTTATTTTAGCCAAGTCTCTCATGTTTAATATACTCTTCTTCTCCCTCTCCCTCAGTAACTTATAGCCTGGAGCAGAGAGCAGCAGACACAATCTATTACAAAAGGCTTCCAAACCCGAAGGCTTAGCCTGGTGTTGAAAACAAACATCAAAAGGGGTGTTCAATACATACCAGCAAGTATAAACTTTCTTTGCTGTGTCGTGATTATTGCGGATGTGTCTGCGCAGACTGTTGGAGGCATTAAATGAGCGTTCACACTGTCGACAGGGATATCTCTTCACAGACTAGCAGAAGAACAGAAATATCTTTTAATAACAGGGTGAGGAAGGCACTGGCTGGATTCTAACATTCCCATGATCTTCAGCTTGACCTTACCTCTTGGGTGCAAAAAATCTGTCTTCCACTGATAAACATCACTGAGATTTTTGGGGTCCCACTTATACTCAGCCCAACCACTGGCTAATGCTAGCACTGATCTTACAAAAACCAGGACTATTTAAAGCACGTGCTTGATTTTTATTTATTATTTTTAATAGGAATTGCATTAGCTGCTTCTCCTGGGCCTCATTTCACTGCAGGACCCTCTGCAGAATTAATTCAGTGGAAACACCTTTCTGCCCCAGGTGTGAAGTACAGGACCCCAGTGTGAAGTACAAGTTCACTTACCCTTCTCTCTCCTCCTAATTCAGCACAATAGAAGGGCAAGATGTTAAATAGCACCACATAGTCCCACTTGTTAGCCATGTATGCTCCTCTCATCCCCCTACACCACTCTGCCCCATTACTAACCTCCTCCTTTCCCTCCAGTCCTTCATATAATCTGCATGCATTCCATTTAATGTCTTCGTAAACTTAATAAATACATATATGTATTCAACTTCCATATTTGGCAAATTTCCTACTTCTAGTGAATTCAAATAGGAAATACAGCATTCTCAGCCTGTCCCCATAGTCTGGATAGTTATCAAGTGGAACAATCTACCACTCCCCAAGTAAAGCTAAAAGGAATCAAAGTCTATGATCCACATTTGGAAAGCCTCAAGAAGGGTGAGTCAGTGTACAGAACAAGAAGTCCTGATGCCAAAGTACTAAGAAACCTGGCTGCACACAATATCTTGGCCTATGTTCTGCCAGGAAGATTAGCTTGACAGATGTAGGTCAAGGCAACGCAAGGCCTGAGCTGGATGAAACCAACAAATTGAGATTTACAGTTCTTGTAGCAAAGGGCTCTGCACACTGTATGAGTCTGTAACTCTTCCCCAGTTAGGTGTAGCGATGTCTACCAAACAATACAGCACGTGAGGAAACTGTGTGTCGTTCTGTAACTTTGAGTACAGACAGTTTAGATCAGACTGCTGAACCAGCAGATACGACAAAGAAGGATGGAGAAGATGGAGAAGATATGACATTCTATCCACTTACCCAGGTGAGTCGAAGAGGAAGCCTGATATGAAATGCAGTGGGAGGGGAGCAGCAAAGAGGATGAGGTATGCAGGTTGTAGAGTATACCATCAAGGACAGAAAATGTACTTACAACAGGCTACATAGTTTTTCTTTGTTCTGACCCTTAGCTTACTCCTCAGTGAGCTGCAGACAGACTCACAGTTTCTTTCTGCCCCAAATATTAACAATTACCAGACTCCTTTGCTCAAAATATCTTGTTCCCTAGTTGAAGTGTTTCAGCTGAGTCCTTACCCTTCCATGACTTCTCTTCATGTGGGACACATAGGTTTCCCGATCAGGGATCCACTGTGAACATTCCTTGCAAGTCCAACCAGTTCTTCTCAGCCTGGCCTTGGATTTGGGATTGTATCCTTCCACCCTCATGTCCCTCCTCATCAGAGGGGAGTGGGAAGTCCCATTGGCCACTGACAGCTCCTTTGCTGGGGCATGAACCTGGTTCCTTGATGCCTTCTCAGATTTCTGTCGGAAGTTTGAGAGCTCCTCAGGATTTTGGGGGACTCCATGAACACCCTAGATGACAATAATAAAGGAATCTTGTGTAACATTTATATGAAATTCATATTATACATCTTTATTTATAAATAACGTTTACTATTTAGATTAATAATTTAACCCCACCCATCCCCCAAAACAATATCCTGATGTCTTGCTCCCACACATCTTCCCATTCCCCCTTGAACCTGGCTACAGTGCTTTCCCCAGCAAGAGATTTTCCAGAGAAATATGAAGCTTCTATTTATGTTCCCTGCATGACAGCAGCAACTCCTTGGTGCTGCCTGTTTAATATTTTGGATGAGCTCTAGGAACTCTGGTTAAAGAGGGAAGATGTAATGGAAGAGAAATATTAATTGTCATTATTGCAAGAGCCTAAGCTCTAAAACCACTGAGCTTTGGTAAGCTCTGAAGGAAACATCTGCTTTTATCTTGGGGCTCCAAAGCTGCTTCATCTTTGCTCAAGGGACAGGAAGAGACAACCTCTCAGTTTCTCTAACCCCACCTTCTTCAATTCCACACCATCTATTGCTATTTACATTTTCACGGTTCAAATATTGGTTCCTGACAAATAAAAGCAAGCATAAAGCCAGAAACCAGCCTTACAAGGCACATGTCTCCAGGCTCTTTGGTTGTTCAACAGGCCAGGATCCCCCCAGAAGTTACTTCAACAAAGAAAACTGAACATAAGGAAAATAATCCAGAAGCAAAGAGCTGTGGGAAAGCAAAAGCAAGTAAAATAGCAACATACCAAAGAAACCTCAAGACACTCCCCTAGGAACAAGAACAGTTCATTCACACAAAAGAATAATTTAGAGGTTTAATTGTGCACTGTAATTAGTAACGGGTAAAGTTTCAACACAGGAAGGCCCCACGCCTTTGGAAGTCTTTCTGGGGGTTAGACACCAAACAAACGTCAAAAGACAGTGTCTCATCTGAGAAGCCCATGTGCTTTGCACCTGATCCAGCTATGTTCACAGAAGCTCTGTCATGCAATGGCAGGGCAATGACAGCAGCTCCACAGCATTGCCAGGGTAACAGGAACAGTTCACCTTTCTCCCCATCCGGAAATCTCAAGAGTCGTTTCAAAGCAGTGTACATTAGTGCCCATTACTCCATTTCTCCTGTTATTACACCACGGGGAGGTGGTAGAAAGGAGCACAGAAAAATGAACTGTGTTCTCTGCAGAATCAATAACGGGAACCAGACCTTCTAACTCCTACTCTTACGCACTAACAGTGGAAAGCCAGGAAGGATGAGGAGGCACATGGCTTCTTTATTTTGCATCTAGGCACACATTAGACTATAAACTCTCCATTGCATAAAGGAGCAGGATCCGATAGGAGAGGAGATGGAGAGGAGAGATGGGTTAGTGCAATTACTGTCCTGACACAGCCAAAAAGCTGTCTGCAATGACCATCTCAAAGACATGTTGATGGCCAAATACAGCCTCTCAGTTAAAAGACAAAAAGTTTTTTATGGAGATGTCAGGCTGCTGGTGCACAAACTGCTGCACACAGGTCCCTGGGGGGGGATTTGGAAATGAGCCACAGCAAGTTGTGTACCTCAACTCAAGCTTGCATTTTAATATTGGGGTTGAATGCCTCTTTGAAGGTCCCAGCCTTAATCTCAACTCTATTTTCCTCGCTATAATACAGGAAGATTAGGTATCATCAACTTCATAGGAGGGCTTCAAAATTTAATTCATTACTGCATGCAAAGCAGTTCCAGATTTGCAAGTTAAAAGGCATGGAGGAGAGAGCAAAGAAGTAGTTTTCAATGGTTTTTGCTTTTAGCAGCAAACTAATAAATCTTTTGACTTTTCAAGTGCAAGTATAAACACAGGCAAGTTACTGATTAAAAAAAAAAAAGTCACTTTTGTTTTTTTTCTAATCAACAGGCAATAAGACTTTGCGAGCTCTTGCTTCAGAATGGCACCAAGAAATCTGAGAGGATTTCCACACCGGTGTTGTTAAGACACTGTCCATAGAAACACATTCACCAAGACAACAGAAAAATGTGGCATAGCACATTCATGGGATAAGCAAATCTGCAAGTCCTCACACACATCCTGCCAGAAACACCACTAAATGGATAATAACTGATTTTTCACACGTGTAAAAGAGCGATGAATGACAGTGAGGCAACTGCTGTGCTTACTGCAAAACGAGCCATTACTGAGGGAGAGCAGGTGCAAAGCATGCTCCAGACACTTCCACCCAGGTTTTGGGGTTGCACACAACTATCCATTTCAGACCACCTTCTTGGAGCAGCCTGACTGGTGCCAAGACAGACAAAGTGGGGATCCCACCTCCCCAGGGCTGGTACACCTCCAGAGCAATCACTTCTGCCTCTGTTGCACTCCCCTTTTGCAATCTGGTGCAGTTCTCAGGTGAGAGGAGCAGCCAGAGAAGCGGGATGTTAAATGCCATGCAGCCTCCCTGAGGCAGCTGCAAGCAGTCAGAACTCTCTAGTGAGCATCCAGAAGAGGAAGATTCAGCTCTCATTCTATAAACTGAGTAACACTGTGGACAGACAATACTTCTCCCTGTCTCCCAACCAGTGATAAAGCTTCCACTCTGGCTTAATCACTTCCTTGGGTTTAATACAGAACAGTTAAAAATCAAATGAATGTATTCACAGAAAATGAGTCTTTGTCATAAGGTTAAATCACATATAGATGAAAGTAACTGCCTGCGTTATTACCAACTAACACAAAATGCTCCACTGATGTTTCCAGATAATACTGTAAGTCACTGTAGTCTTATTTTTCCACTAATATATTCCTCAAGAACCTTCCACTTCCTTAATCTATTTCCTCAAGCAGTTGATATAAACTCTTGTGGAGTCTAATAAGAGGATCTGCTATCAGCAAATGGTGGGCATTACCTACCTTAACGTGCTGCATTAACTGCTGTTTCTGCATATACACCAGCTGACACTGTGGGCACTTGAACACTCCCACCAACAACTTGTTGGTGTTCTGCTGGAAGTGCTCTTGTAGCAGCTTCTTCTTGTTAAAGACCGTCTCACAAGAGCATTTGTAGATCACCCTGGAACAATTAAAATGTAAACTCAGTCTCTGTTAGTTATTTTAAGAAGACAGTGCAGAAAGTTATCTCAGCAACTTCAGAAAGGGACAGGTTTCTAAGAAGGGCTGTGCTCTCAATGGATTGTCAACACACACCCACGTGGACAACCTAACCATTAACTCAACTAGGAAGAACAACAAAATGCCTCAGGCACATACCACAGCTTTCTAAAAATAGGTTTACTTCTATGCATATGCATGACTCTGTGTGTGCGTGTAAGCGCAGACAGATGGGAGCAAATTCAAAGTATACCAGCTAGCTACGCATTACTTTCAATCCCACCTTTCCATAGTTCCTCCCTTAAAGCGTACAATCTTGGCACTAGCTCAAGCCTTGGAGGGGAGAGCTACAGAGTGGAAAACACAGGAGGTTTCTCTCTAGTGATTTTTGGGTCAATGATGCATGGCGTAACTCTCCTCTTTTGAGTTCCAGATGCAGCAATTACTCTGGAGCCCTCTACCAAGAAATGTCACTGTGGGTCCTGCTGCACAATGAGATGACAGTTAAGTTCCTTTTACAGGTATCTTTGTCTCTAAACTGGAGAGACATAAATTTGATGGATAGACCACACGGTGCATAAGGAATTGGCTGAATGGCCACACACAGAGTCACAGTTAACAGCTCAACGTCCAACTGGAGATGGGTAATGAGTGGTGTCCCTCAGGGTCGGTGTTGGGACCGATCCTGTTCAACATCTTTGCTGGTGACAGTGGGATTGATGCATACTCAGCAAGTCTGTGATGACACCAAGCTGTGCGGTTCAGTGGATATGCTGGAGGGAAGGGATGGGATCCAGAGGGACCTGGACACGCTGAAGAGGTGGCTAATGCCAACCTCATGAAGTTCAATCAAGCCAAGCAAAATAGGGCAATCCCAGGCACAGCTACAGATTGGGCAGAGAAGAGATTCAGAGCAACCCTGAAGAGAAGGACTTGGGGGTGTTGGTCGATGAGAAACTGAATGTGAGCTGGCTTCAGTGTGCACTTGAGCCCAGAAATCAACTGTGTCCTAGGCAGGCCAAAGAAGGTGATCCTGCCCCTCTACTCTGCTGTCATGAAACCTCAATTGCAGCACTGTATGCAGTGTTGATGTCCTCAACATAAGGAGGACATGGAGCTGTTGGAGCAAGTCCAGAGGAGGCCACAAGAATGATCAGGGGCTAGAGCCCCTGATGGATGGAGACAGACTAAGAACATTGGGGCTGTTCAGCCTGGAGAAGAGAGGCTGCGTGGTTACCTCAGAGCCCCTTCCAGTGTCTAAAGGGGACTACAAGGATGCTGGAAAGGGACTCTTCATCAGCGACTGCAGCGACAGGACAAGGGGTGATGGGTTTAAACTGAAACAGGGGAAGTTCAGGTTAGAAGTTCAGGAAGAAGTTCTTCCCTGTGAGAATGGTGAGGCACTGGAACAGGCTGTCCAGAAAAGTGGTAAATGCCCCATGCCTGGCAGTGTTCAAAGTGTGGTTGGACAGGGCTTTGGGTGACACGGTCTAGTGTGAGTTGTCCCTGCCCATGGCAGGTGGGTTGGAACTGGATGATCTTAAGGTGCTTTCCAACCCAAACATACTATGATTGATTCCATAATTCTATGATAGTCAGCTCTTTCTTGCCCAAGTTCTTCTCCTACCCAGGGGACCACGTCTGTACAAAGAAGAGCACACTGTGGTTAGGAACAGACCCACACCAGCAGACAAAGCAGCAGTTCTTCTCATATGAGGACAGAAACCAGAAACAGAAAAAAAAAAAAGGGAGGTAAAGGAGGAATCCTGGAGCTACCCAGCAAGGAAGAAGAGGAAATGATAAATCTGAAATATTTACTGAGTAGTCTTGTGAGGCTCTGCTGGGTGCTGGCTGGTCATGTGAGTCGTGGTGCTGTCGGCCGACTTGAAGGCCATCGGGCAAAAAGAACACTTGTGGAAGACTTCGCAGTGTTTCTCATGGATGTGCACTTTGAGCATGGCGAGGGTCATGAAGACAACTCCACAATGGATGCACCTAGGGGACACACAAAGAAAGAGCCAAGTTACAGCCACAGTGCTGCTTCCAAGATACACACAAAGTGGCACAGGCAGAGGCAAGCACCAGGCTATGGTGGGTCCTTGTTCAGTACCTTCAGTAGCAACATGGAAGAGTCAAGAAGGAATACAGGTGTGCTGGTTTTGTCTGGGATAGAGTAATTTTCTTTGTACTAGCTAGCATGGGGCTATGCTTTGGATTTGTGCTGAAAACAGTGTGGATAATTCAGGGATGTGTGTTATGTGTGACGGAGCCCAAATTTCCTGGGCATGGCTGAACACCTGCCTGCAATGGAAAGCAGGGAGTAAGTTCCTCAGTTTGCTTTGCCTCTGTGTTAGCTTTTATTTACCTAATAACCTGTCTTTACTTCAACCCATGAGTTTCCTCGCTTTTACTCTTCTGATTCTTTTCCCCATCTCACTGGGCAAGGGTGAGTGAGACGCTGCATAGGGCTGAGCTGCTGGTTGGGGTTAAGCCACAGCACAGGAATTCACAGGCTGGGCAGATGTCACTGTCAGATGCTAGTGACAGGATCTATAAAATTAGCCTTCAGAAACTAAAACAACCCAGGAAGAATAAAGGAAAATGTGGTTCAGCAAAACACCAGCCCTGTATCTGTGAAAGCCAACTCTGCCACAGATGAAAGTGAAGAACTAAAGTAAAAGTATCTGATAAGATCTCAGCATAAATACCAGTCAGTCTTCAGTACAAAACAAAAAGGATATTCAGGTACAGAATCCTCAGTAACCCTGTATAATTGGTTCTCATTCCCCACTAAGCACCAGAAAATAATGACAACAGCAAAGATACTGAAAATGGCAACAGAAACATGGAAGGAACTGATTAAACTCATTAAAATCATTAACACACAGGTGTTGCCTGGGAAGTGGTTGCCTAGGAGCTGGATGGATGCTCTGGGAAGAGCAGAGGTTGCATGTGGAGCCAAAGGATTCTTCTTAGCAGCTAAAAACACGGCCAGGCAGAGCACCAGGGTCACGTCACTGGTCTCAGCCAGCCTCTCCTCCCAGTGCACTCTGTGACAGACCTTGCCTGGTACTCCCCCACGATGGAAACCCCCAGCAGCCTTACTGTATTTAACTAATATTCCTCTCAAGAACCCACCCACCTGCTGTACTCTGAGAGCAGCCACACACCACTGCAAGGGCTCATGAAGATACGGTGTCCTCGCCTGCTTTGGCCACACCAGCCATGGGGTTCACCATGCCCACAGAAGCACCTATGTTAATCAGGGACTAGAACAGCCTCTCCTAAGAAGAGTCACTCAGAATGACTAGTGGCAGACCTCCACTTGAGCCAGCACTGCACATGCAGACCATTACAGTGGAGCTCAGCTGGGCAATCCATGGAGCCAATGCTTGTGCTTGTAGGATGTGAGGGGCACCCAAGGGTAACTTCCTCCAGTAAACCTGGAGCTAAGTCACCTTAGAAATATCTTTTTTGCCTCGTTCTCAGGTCTGCCGTTTGTGTGCTCAGCAGTGCCGCAGCACAGATGCTGCCATCGCAGATGGACCCCAGCTACCGAGCAACTGGAAGAGCTCCAAGCCTGTATCAAAACCAAACAAGCCGCTAGATTATCCTTCCCTCCAAACGAGCCTCCCAACAGTGTTTAGGAATCAAGCCCATGCTTTGAAGTTATACTTCAAAAGATCATTAGGCAGAAGCCAGCCCGAAGGAGCCGAACCCTCTCCCTCCCAAAATCTACAAACAGATGTAGTGTTCTTAAGTTCAGAGAGGGAAGCGATGACAACAGCTGGTGTCATCTTTGGGGAAGCATGGAAACATCCTGCCCAGGTAGCTCTGCCTTCAAGCGTGATCCTCATGTGACATAGAGAGAGACTTTCTAGGATAGTAACATCAGGAACCATGTTATTACGGAAGAATAAATTCCCCAAGTATAAATGGAAGCACAAGTGCTAATCCTGACAGTAAGGTCTGGCTGGTACATCCAGGAATATCCAACAGGTTTCTTCCACAAGCGCTCCCTGAACTAACAATAGATGGTTCTGCATTCTGCTTAGTTTTGGTAAGTACTTCAATTAGAATTAGGGATGAAGTAAGTACTAGCTCAAGGTCAGATGATTACAAGTTGATTTAATTTACAGTAAATGGAAGTTTAAACAACAGGCACTTTGTAATCAAGAATTCCAGTGCCAGCAGGACGAAGTTTGATAAAGTAAAGCAATTAGCAGAACAAAGTGGATGGAGGATGTCAGAGGCTTGCCATGTTAATTTCTACAAATTGCAGATTCCGCTATCATCTCCCCAGGAAGGAGGGGAGGGAGAATAATATGCCAGCAAAGACTCTTGGATAGCCCCAGGGCAAGGAGGGGTGGTGTAAAAGTCTTGGAAAGCAGCCTGCAAGAGAAGATAAAGCTACAAGATGTTGTCTTAACCCTCTGAACATTTCCTGTGCTGTCACCTTCCAGCCTCTCAACTCTCCAGATGGCACCAAGCAGGAAAATGAGCCCCAGAGCAGTGGAGACAGCCAGAAGGTGCTTGGAAAAGGCAAGGAGGTGACACTTCGAGCCAAGTGGAAGAAGCATTTAGGACAGACTTGGTGATTTTAATTTTTAACTGCAGAAGGCCTTTCTCGTTTTCAATGCAATCACTTGCCATGATTAAAACCCAAATAAAACAATCTTACTCGAAACTTCACTGAACACATTGGGGTATTAGGAGGAAAGGAGATAGAATAAGGACTGAACACAAAAAAAACCCCAAACAAACAAAAACCCCAACAAACCCCAAACTTACACATCAGAAAATCAATAAAAACAAGGATATAGCAAGAAGCAGCAAAATAGAGCTGATCCTGGGAAGGATTTAAAAGAACCTCTCAGCTTTTCAGCCCTTCAAGTAACAAAAGTGAAAGAAACGAAGTTGCTACATGACCACAGAGCAGATGCCAAGGACTATCAACATATGGTTCTGCAACCAGAGTTTATTTCTTCCTTTCCCAAAAGAGCAGTGACAGGCAGGATAACAAAGATAGCACAGCCAGAAGTTTACCTGTCTGGTAAACCCAGTTTTCACAGATGAGCTTGAGCAGATGCAAACTAGAGAAGTTAAAGAAATTTAGCTTCTAGAGAAGCTAAAAACCCTGCAAGCATCATTCTTAAGCTCTGTCTTGGTTTAAATCTTCTTTAATGTCCTTGACATAGAAAGAAGGCATTTGCTAATGACACCTGTACAAGCTCTCGCTGCTGACAGCATCATAAGGATATTACTGTAATACATCTGGAAAAGATGCCAGGTCATACACTTAAGAGTCAGGATCAAGCTTTGCTCTACACTGCAAGCCCATCACTTAGAGGCAGAAGGACTTGCACTGGATCACTGCTAAAAGACTGAGTTTCCTATATACTGCAGTTTGGGCCAAAGTAACTGTGACACGTTATTGATCCAGGCATCAAGAGGGATGGGGATGATGCACAAGCAGCTCAGCATGCTGAAGTTGTGCCTGCATTTGGGATTCTTAGGTGCCAGTGAAGTCCAAAGAACTGCACCAAACACATGGTTAGTTTTCTGACATCTCCATTCTAATTTTTCCATTTCAGGGAAAACATTATTTTTCAGCTTTCCTCCCTCTCTCAGATTAACCCATTTTCAAACAGCCCAAGTATCACGGCCATTTAATTTGCTATGGAATTAATCCTTTGTTGTGGGCCATGCCCCCTCCAATCAGATCCCACATAAAAAGACCCTTCTCTGTATATAATTAAATTCAGACTCAGTTTGTTATGTGTTTCTTGTCTTCACAGTTGAAAGAAAAAGCCCTTGAAAAACTAAGTGTGATTTCAGAACAAACCACACAGGCTTCCTGAATTTGCAGCCATCTTAAAAGAACAACTCCATGAGCAAAAATTGCCCTATCCATTTTAAATCTCAAAGTATTCAATGGCAATAAGAGAAAAAACAGAACTTAAAAGGTCACTAGTCTCATCTCCCAAGTAAAACAGTCTCTGTCTTAAGAGCTGTGCTGCAGTTGAGGTGATCTAAACATGCCAAGGAAAGCCTTGTAGGGAAAAGTCTTTTATTAAAATGTCTTTTATTAAAGCAATCAATTTGGTTGGAGAAGAGACAACACATGCAGGCACATACACACAACCACATCCAGAGACTTGGGAGCCTTCCTCCATTTGTCTCAGTTCATGAGAACTGTTTGGAGAGTTGTAGGCACATATAAGAAAATATTCTATCCTCTTCTCATGCAGGTGTACATCCCTCAGACCATTATAACGTACATAAATGTAAGTTCAAACCTTAAAGAGACTTAGAGGATTAAGATCTGCAATCTTTTTGCTGGAAATATCAATCCTGAGACGCTTGTCTGCAACTTCAATTCAACACAAGGTTCCTTCAGCTTAAATGCCTCCAAATAATTTCTGCTCCCAGAAACCTCTCTTAAATCCATTTAGTAATTCCCCATTTTGAAATACATTTTATCACACAGCAAACCACAACAGCTCCTGGCTACATCCTCTTTTGTTTCTGTTGCAAGGAAAACACATTTCCAAAGATCTAAATCCCAGTTTCTCATTCCTTCTTGTCATGTCAGCACAGACCCTCTGGCCCTGCACAAACCTGAATCCCACTTTGCGGGAGTAATGCAGGCAGTTCTCCTTGACGTGAGTCTGGAAGTAGGCGGAGCGGCAGACAGCACCGCACTCTGGGCAGCAGTATGGAGACTTGTGAGCGTGGATCCTCTGGTGAGCGCAGTAACTGCACTGGTTGGGCAGCATCATCTGGCACACTTGACACGTCTGATGAGAGGAAGGTTACATTAGTTAGTTATCCCCTATTTGTTTCTTTGTCCCCCCAGGCCACCCTAGAAAACTTTCAGGTTTAGAGAAAACTCCAGCACATTCCTCTAATATAAACATAAACTCTACGAAGCTCTTTGGCTAGTCTCCTCAGCACCTTTTTCCACAACAACCCTAACAACTTCCACACTAGCCATTCCCAACAGCAGTATCCATTCTTAAGCCACGTTCTCTGTGGATTACTTCCTTTTTTTCTCTTAAAAAAGGAAAACAAAATCTTTCACCCTTAGCTCCGCTGATATTATTTATGCTTGGTCACTGCTTTCATTTCTGCATTAAGGCATTTGAGAAGGAAAGCACATTTCTCAACCAGTCCCCACCCTGCACCAAGGTCACACCAAAATAGCATGAAAACTCCATTATACCCCATCTCCAAATCCTCACTGCTGAACACAATGCAGCCCAGACATGTAGCAGCCTTCACCAAAACCACACTTGTGTCTCTTGAAAGATTTCTCTGGACCACTGAAATCTGAACTTTCAAAGACCACAAACTACGTGTGCTATGACATCTTTATAGAAACATGACAACTAGAAATGATGCAAGGATTCTTTCTCTCCCTATTTCTGCACTCCTTACGAAATCCACCTTTTTCCCTACCCTTCCAAGAGCCACACGTACTATCAATTCCACTTTGCAGAAGAAGTGTCATTTACTTGACGTGTAAAGTGTTTTATGTGGACATATCACCCCAGTTTCAACAGCTGTCAAACCTCTGCACCCTTTCACAGATGACTCAACTCCTCTGTACTCATTCAAAGCCCAGGAGCTATCCTCTCTAGGGTACATATTACTTGATGCCTAAGCAGGAGTAAAGCTGGAACAGATGCCAGACCTCCAGCCTTGAGCCTTCTAGGAGCTCAAACTCTATTCTGTCATTAAAACCCACACAATTCCTCTGCTCCTAACTCCTGCTTAAGAAGGAACTACAGCAAGCAGCTAATTATGGATTATCACATCAGGTAATTTAAACACATCATTTCTTCCACTATCATTAAAGAAGGTTACAGGGCTCATTAGCTCAGATATGGTGACAAGTTGTACCGCAGCATACGCCTACATGGTCAACCAAAACTTTTAATGTAGCATGTGCCTACACAGCTGGACCAAACCAAGTCCTGCAGGCTTCACTGCTGGCCACAAGGGCTCAGAAACCTGGGCAAGAAGCACCCAAATCTGACAGAGACAAAAGATTAAGAGCCAACTCCATTTTCTGTATCATTGCTGTTCTATGCAGCATCTTTGTGATGCTCCACTATACAACATCCACCAGTGAACTGTCAGAAACACTGCAGGTAACAGAAAGCATCATTTGCAATAAAAGCTATGACAAAACTGAAAAAGGTTCAGGAGGGAGGGAGGGGAGGGCTTAAAAAACCAGGCTCTTGAAGGAGGAAACTGCAGAAATTGCCAAACATATCAGAAGCCTCAGACACGTGACCCAAGACATGCTACAACTGAAGTTTAGAGAAAACGTTTCCCCCAAGAAAGAGAGAAATGGGCAGAAGAAACTGCATTATAGGACCCCCATGCCTGCACCCAAATGCAATTCAAACAAACTAAACAGTATTTCAGCCCTTCCCCAAATGCTTGGAGAAGCCCCTTAATTTCAGCAGAGAAAACCAGCACTACTGAGCCATGGTCTGAGCTGTGAAATATAAGCAGAAATGGGAACATGGGAAATAGAAAAGCCCCCAGGATATATCTCAGAGCTGCTGAACAGGACCTTACATTTTCCAGAGCTCTCTCAAATCATCTCCAAATAAGAGGTACAAGAAGAAAATAATATCCAGGGCAGTTTTATTGTGGTTTATGGCATTGTTTTTTCTAATCGAGTTTTGATTTGCAACGGGAAATTTAACTTCTTGGCCTTATCAAAACAGCACTCCCCTTGCTTTGATCCCGCCCAGCATTCAAGGCAAACTCAGAACAAGCACAAGTTGAAAGCACCTTTGCCCTTGTAGCTTAGTGAGATACATTTCCTGTCCAGATCCTGCCTTGTCAAAGGCAATTTAGTTTTGATTTTAAGTCTGTGAAGAGACAGTCTGGGGCTCATCTCTTCCTCCCCAGCGTGGCCCCAAAGGCACCCTGGCACGCAACACAAAGACCTGAATTTTCACTGTCATGTGTGCTTGTGCTGGATCTGAAATATGCCAAAATCACCCCATATTTAATGGGCTCCAGGCCTGGGCACTGCTGCTTGGGGATGTGCAAAGCAGCGGTAAGCTCGCAGACCTGAGCTTCAGCACTGCTCTGTGATTTGTGTTTGGATGCAGCAGACCTGGTGGTCCTGACATTGTGAACAACTCCCTCATTTTCTGAGGTGTCCCTGTCAGACCGTTATGTCTGAAGAGTAACTACTGCCATGTGTGAGTCAGCATAAAGTAAGCTTCAGCTGGGGAAACGAAATCATCTCACGGTGTTTGGTCCTTTTAGCTTATGGGCTGCTGGGGTGGAAAAGATGAATCCTACACCCTTTGCATTGCGCTTGTGCTCCCACCCAACCAAAGTGAAGGGGTGACTTAAGACACCAGCTGACCGTGCCACACACCAAGGTACAAGCGGGCAACAGACTCCAAATACCACTCTGTCATGGGTAATATTCTTCTGTAAACTACTTTTAATTAAAGGTTTAATATGCCAGCTCTGCTGATAGAGCACAAAGCTGATCATTTAGTTGTGTTTGGTGCCTGTTAGAAACACGGCATTTCAGCAGCACCACTCAGTAGACCCAGGACGATTAAACACAGCAGCCAGGGCTGATGTGGAAAAGAGCCACTAGAATTTACTTCCAAATGGCATTTATAACAACAAATACAGACACAGTGGAGGATGCAGGAATACATGGCCCATGGGGCACAGCACGGCCAGGTCCATGCCACTGGCCACCTGCACAGCAAGTGCAGGAGCAAAGGAAGCAGCTTCAGCTGCCTTTTGCTGGTCAGGTCCAGCAAAAGGGAGCCCACTACTCCTCCCTTGTTACATGAAAGGCTTGTCAGGTACCAAACCCATGTCAGTGTAAGGCAGAAAAGTTTGGGGACAGCTAGCAAGAGGCTTCAAAACTAGTGGTTATTTTCTTAAGGCTCCACTAGAGCAGGAAGCCTGCCAGAGAGTGCGTACACATGACATGGGAATAAAAAGCAAAACTCTGCAAGGATAAAGAAATTAATTTTTTGCATGTGCAGATGCTGGGGAAGAAGCTGGAAGATTCCCATGCTGATCCCACGCTCTGCAGGGGGGACTAAAACTAGTCCAAGCCTCTGAGTTCAGATCTTCCTGTGGAAGTGTCAAGAAGTTGGGGAGTAAACAGACAAAATGAAGAGTGGTGAGTCACAGGACACATTAATAAGAATAAGGAAAACTGTCATCTTTAACAAGCACTACTTCTGTACTTCGGAAGTCAATGCAAGCTTCTCTCCTCCTGCTTCACAAACCTATCCAAGCTCTCCAGAGGAGTCAACAACCATGTGGGTAAGGAAGACCTGACCTGCAGATGGGTCAGGTTACCTGGATCTCCAAAATCGTTTTGCAACACCCTTCATGAAAGGATTTTAAGGAAACTAAACTGCCACAGTATGAGGATGGTTTGTGCTTAAATAAATAAGTGGCAAGAAGAAAGGCATAAACAGCCAGTTCTTTGATGGAGGAGGGCCCCCAGGAAGCTCTGCTGGAATTTGGGCTCTTTGAAATAGTCTCAAAGTATCTGGGAAAGGAAAATGAGAAGTGAAATGGCAAAGACTGATGATCATAACCCAGTAACTCAGGAGGTTACAGATAAGGGCTGACCACAAAGAACTGAAAAAAGACCATAGAGGACTGAATGACCAGGTAAAGAAATGGCAGGTTGGATTTTTTTACTGAATCAACCAAGGAAGACAGAAGAGCTGGAGAACGTGCAGTAGAGATTAAAAATTATAACCAGCATTTTTATGCTCACACTTATAATTTTCTTAACACCTGCAGAAGACGCGAGGCCAGAAATCTTGCCCAGGGTTATGACAGGGGGGCCCAGTTGTCCACTCCGTGCCAGGAGCTGCTGCATTTGTCAGGGCAAATGTGCAGCTCCTGTGGGCTCCATCACTGAAGGCTTCATCTTGGAGCTGGAGCAGCCTTTTCTTTTGCAATTCTTCTGCTTTTTATGAGAAATCGTAACTTGGTTCCAGATGTCACATTTTTATCTCTCTCCTAGTTTTCCATGACTTCTCAAAGAAGTCTGGCAGCAATTTGAGACATCCATTACCCAGTTATTTCTAAAGCATGTTACCAGGATATGATTTTGAGTTGTGTAATGTCTGTGTTTTTCATATACTCCCATAATCTACGCTTTAATCAAGAGTTATTTATTATAAGTTTTCTTTAATTCTGGTTTGCCTGCCACATCTCATTTGGCCTTTTCTTCCAGAAGACACATCGACACACAGAGAAATGCTCACATGTTCAGCTGAGGCAGAATACTTGATTTTATTCCCATTTTTATTTGCAAGCTTCTTCAGAAGGGGGAAAAAATTAAAATACTCACTGAAGTAGAATGAAGGTTGAAAAAAACCACGGCTCCAGAAAGGTTCATCTGTTAAATCCAACCCTGTGGCCACAGACGTGTTTGTAAATCAAGAAATTTATAGTGAACAAAGTTTTGCTCTGCAAAGTGGCTGGGTAGAGGTGGCACCAGTAACCTTTCTGTTTCATTGACAGGACTGATCACACAACTTGGCATCAAATTTGATCCATTCATGAGCATGTTTTCTTTCAACCACCACTAGATCAGAGAAACAGAGCAACTCCCATCTTCTCACATGCAGGATCACCACAGAATTCCTGAGGCCACTTTTCTCACTCAGATAAAGCCTGTGAGTAGCAAGAGCATGATCCCTTTCAACACACCACTGAAAAATTAACTCGGGGCATGAAACTCTTTGCTTTCACTTACACGTAATGCACA